AAGAGAGGGTTCTCCAGCGATAAACGCCGCCAATGGAGGCGCCGCAAAGCACGACGAACGACGGGCAGCTGAGGCGGAGGCGCCACAAGGAATGACGACAATCGACGGATTGATGGGTAGATCATGGCCTAGACAAAGGATGGTGAATCAACGAGTGTCGATAACCTGAAAAATCCTTGCCAAGGGATTAGATCATCGCCGGGATATACTGTCTTCGCACACAAAAATAGGGATTCCATAGAAATTTTTTATATTAAACAATTAAAAATGTGCAAATTTTTTATTGGGGCGGTGCACCACATAAGCCATGCACCGGGAGTACCTAAGATTTTTTCTCTATCTTGATATTTATTAGACACATTGTTCGAAGTGTTTTAATATGTTGAAATACAGTCATGCACACCAGTTTGACTACTTTAAAAACATATATCACTAGTTTGACTGGCGAATTTAGCAATGTCGCTTTTTGGATTGCGATACAAGTATGTTGCTTGTTAGACTTCTGACATTCTTTCGCCCACCGCCAAATCAACAAAAACCCAACTATATTAGCAATTTTGTTTTCCTATACTTCTAGATCGAAAAATAATTGTAAGGTACTGCTATGATTATAATTTCTTAAAACTTTTATTATTGGAAAATCCACATATAGGTGGTTTTGGCAAAGTTGTCAAATATGTATTAGGCCAACCGGCTTAATCGGGTCTGACCAGAACTGGTCATCTAAACTGTTGAAATACACTCCGGTTGGACGGTTCTGAAAAAGTCAAAACTGGGTTAAACTAGCCATAACCGGGTTAAACTTGTTAAAATACGGTTGTTTGACCAATCTAAACCGGGTTTGAAGATGATGATTGATAATTTGTAAGAATGGCAATGGGTGGGTCCGGGGGTGGATAGTGCATATCCGTTGTCCTACCCAAAGTAGTTCGGCTTTTACCCACATCCATACCCACAAAAGAAACGAGTTAAAATCAAAATATGCTCATATCGGTTCGGATTCGGGTATCCATCCAAACAATAGGTTAACACTCACATGTATTCTCACATTAAATAAGAGGAAAAGTATGACAATAATTTACTAGAATGAAGAAAATTAGTTAAAACAATACAATTTCATGAAAATATTATATTTATATGCTAAATATAAAATATGTTAGAGAAAAATAATAATTATTTCTAGACAAAATACATATGCATGTGTATAATCGGGTGGGTTCGGGTTGGATAGTGAGTCAGAAAACCATGTCCATCATTACCCGCAATATTCAAGTTCGAATTTTATAAAGTCCTTCGGGTTCGGATTTTATCCTACCCGATTAGGTCGTATTCTGACGGATATCCACGGTTACTCATATTTTTGCCATCCCTAATAATTTGGTAATATATAAATTCAGAATAGTGATATTGTTTGAAAATATGTTAAATATATGCATAATCTATTTGGTATTAAAGGTTTTTCATATGACCAAAGGTAAGATAGCCAAACGGTAAAGCTACCGCAATAGTGAATGCTTGGGGGGTTGCAGATCTAGGTTCGAATCCAAGCGGGACTCGTTGGTATTCCCGGAGGTACAAGGCTGCTAGGGGCGAAGCTCCGTTGGCGTAGAATTTGATTGCAGGTGACCCCCATATTTAGTAGTGTTGATGTGACTTGAATCGGACTATCAGCCGCTACGATGGGAATAGTCGGGGGTCAATGTTATTTGGGTTTGGGTTCTGGGCCTGGTCTGTAACCGTTTCCTTTGCCAGATTGGATTATGTTTAGACCAACATGGAGAAGTATAAATACTTCTCATCTCCTCGATACAGTGAAACTGGCTCTCTCTCGCCCATGGACTAGCTAACATACATCGTGTTAGTGAACCACGTAAATCGTGTGTCGTGTTTTTGATTCACGCTTTCGTATTCTTGCTTTCTGGATTCTGGCGATTTCCCGAACCGTAGCAGCGCGTTTATAACAAGTAGGTACCGTTGTCACAAAGTGACAAGTGGGACTGAGGTTTCTAGGTAATAAAAAAAGTTTTTTATATGTTCTATTAAAATTAATTTAATCTATTTTTTTTACAAAAGATAATCTTATATTGATTAAAAAAATTTAATCTAGTTAAATCCGATCCGAACATTAAATTTCGAATCACTTGTCGACTACATACGATCTAGTTTGACAACCTTGGATTTTGGTGATCAAATTGGTATTTTACCCGGCGGACTGGCTTCCTTCTCTTCTCTCTAGTCTCGCTCTCCCCTGGGACCGGTTACTATAACAACACCCCTTGTGTTGTTATTGTAACAACACTAGTCTCCAACCAATAGGAAGCTAGGGTTGTGATGACTTTTTATTAGATGAGTTGACCTAGTGTAAAATCAAAGCAGGGGTATAATTGTCATTATGAAAAATCTATTTAAATAAAAAAATAAAAAAAATAAAAAAAATAAAAAAAATAAAAAATATTTTTTTATTTTCTGCCCAAAATTTTGGTCGCCGGAATTCTGTCACCGGTCGTCGGAAAATGGTCGCCGGTCACCGGAATATGCTTTTTTGTCGCCGGAATATGCTATTCGTGGCCGGAATATGCTTACCGGCGTCGGAATATGCTTACCGGCGTCGGAATATGCTTATCGGCGTCGGAATCTAGTCATCGGGGCCGGAATATGCTTATCGGCGCCGGAATCTAGTCATCGGGGCCGGAATATGCTTATCGGCGCCGGAATCTACTCACTGACGGTCATCGGAGTTTGGTCAACGGGTTTCGTTGACCGGTCAACGGTTTTCGTTGACCGGTCAACGGTCAACGACCATCGGATGTTATGGTCTGCATTGTGAGATTTATGGTTTGGTTTCTCATATTTTTGTATGTCTTTTGTGGTTTGCTTTATCGTGTTTGTGGTTTGCATTAAGAAGTTTCTGGTTTGCTTTATCGTGTTTGTGGTTTGCATTAGGAAGTTTCTGGTTTGCTTTCGAAAAATTTGTGGTTTGCATTGTGAGGTTTCTGGTTTGTTTTAATATATTTGTGGTTTGCATTAGGACGTTTATGGTTTGCTTTTGTGTGGTTTGATTTACTGTGTTTGTGGTTTGCATTAGGAGGTTTCCGGTGTGCTTTCGTAAATGTTGTGGTTTGCTTTGTGAGGTTTGTGGTTTGTTTTAGGAGATTTGTGGTATGCATTAGAAGGTTTCTGGTTTGCATTAAGAAGTTTATGGTGTGCTTTCGAAAATTTTATGGTTTGATTTGTGAGGTTTCTGGTTTGTTTTAATATATTTGTGGTCTGCATTAGGAGGTTTGTGGTTTGCTTTATCGTGTTTGTAGTTTGTATTATGAGATTTCTGGTGTGCTTTCGGAATATTTATGGTATGTTTTGTGGGGTTTTTGGTTTGTTTTAGGGGATTTGTGGTATGGATTGGGAGGTTTCTGGTACGCTGTTTTTTGTGGATTTTTGCAATTCAAAGCTATGGTTTGCAATTCAAAGTTAGGAAACCCCAACCCACCAAAATTTATTGGCGGGATCTCAAGCCCATACCTACCACAATCTTCAACTGTTAGTTCCTCCAATTCTCTCAGCTCTGGAAGATTAGCAACCGGAGAGGAAGTCAGTAGCACCTTCAAACTTGTGGGAAGCTTAGACCCCAACAGCAAATTCTCTCTACGCAATACAAATCGTCCCAGAGTATATTTCACGTCTACTCTCAAGACATCAAGAAACTGCAACTCCCCAATATCAGCAAGCACTTCTCTTGGATTCTTTTCACAATAAACATTTGTTAGTTCAAGCTCACAAAGTCCTTTCAACATCCCAATGGTTCCGCCCCTAATCTCCCTTACCTTACAACTCCGCAAGCGTAACTCTTTCAGGCTCCTCAAATTCCCAATATCCAGGTCCTTCGGAAACAATAAATTGCCGAAATGAAGAAGATGTAAAATCTCAGGTCCACAGCCGCCTGGTCTGCATCTGGCGAGCTTGGGCTCCGATGTTCACGGTCTTCGGCCGCGCCGGGTGGCGCCGCGCCGTCGAGAAGAGTCGGGGACCTGAGATCGAGGCGGAATCTAAAACGAGGCATATGGAATTTTACTCATTGTAGCAGTGCACCTACTTCCGTCTGTATCTGTCTCACTACTGCTAGATCTTAATGAAAGCAACAGGAATCCATTATCCAAAAAGCAAATCAACGGCGATACTTCATTCAACTGCACTGAGATTCACAATTAGCCTGAAGCCAGCAAGTAATCAAAAACACCGCCGGCAAGCAGCTCCGGCTGGATAACTGGAGACTGGCACCATTTGCCAGAATGACATCAGCTCCGGGCGACACATATGGCACTTAGCACAAAAAAAGCTCGGCCACCGACATATGCACGGAGATCTGAAATCGATGAGAGAATCAACCGCTCCGATCTGGCGGCGGAGGCGATCTGGCGAGTGGAGGAGAAGAAGATGCTTGTGCAGGAGTAAGAGGAGCCGGCAGCGGACGTAATTTCGTGGAGCGGAGCTGCGATCTCAGTCGGAGGAGGACGGAGCGAGAGGCCATCGTGCGACGGCGGCGGCGGAGATTTTGATTTTAGTGCCCGACTCCATCGCCCTTTCTCCTTCTCTTCTATCTCGACCAGCGGAGACCGGATTCACAGCCGGCGACGATGATATATGGCGAGATTTCCGACGGGAGCGGCGACTGACGAAGGCTGGAAGCGGCGGAGTGATGATGGCGGTCGAGAAGTTAAGAGTGTGACGGCGGAGATGCGCGAGGATGGCGACTCAACAGCGAAGGCGGGTTCCGATGCTCCTTCTTGTCCATAATTATCTTTCTGTTAATTTAATATATTATTATCTAATAATTAATGGTATTTTACCCTTATACCCTTAATGAATCCTGTTGTTAGTATAACAACACTATGGGTGTTGTTATACTATCCGGACCCCTCTCCCCTCCAAATCAGAACCCGGTCATCGTCTGGCTGTTACGCATAGTTACCAGACAGATCCAGTCTCGACTCCATTGCTTCCCCTTCATTCCCCCAGATCTCTTCTCGCCGTTTCAACTTTCAACAATCCTATTGTTTCCCCTTCGTCTCCGTGATCGCTCCATTGATCAATCGTGCCCGACTCACGATTCCTTGCCTCCTGGTTCTGAATCTCTCCCCGCCTCTCTTTTTGCATTGAGATTCGCTCCACTCCACTCGTTTCACTGAATGCGTTCGACTGCCTCCGAGCTGCGAATGCTGCGAATTCCTCGTTGATTTGTCTGATTTGGGTTCAAGGGGAGAAGAAATGGCAGCTGGCGGCTTCGTCAACCGAGCATTCGATACCATTCTCAAGGAATGCTCCGGCAAGAAGTTTCCTGATCTTCAAAAGTCTATTCGAACATATCTAGGTTGGTGCCTCTCGTCATCGTGGCTAGCTGGATCGCTGAATTCACTACATTTCCCCCCGTATTCCCGTTCCCTCTTGCTGAGTCGCCATTTCTAGCCTCTAGGACTTCCATTCATGCTTGTGGCTATCTGATTATAACTGCTTCTTCTTGATTTGCTGTTGCCAAGTTCACACAATACTTTGAAATTATATGTGTAAGATTTTCAGTGATCCTATACGCAGTTGCCAACTTGTGGATCGGGTTGTTTGAATTGTATGCTTTGGTGTAGATTGCCATTTGTATGTCTGGTGCTGAATGAGCCCCCGTTGATCCGCTAGAGTTTAAGATAGGCGTCCTATAGCTTTGGAATTGGGATGACTATTTCTGTTTCAATTTTGTTTCATTAACAATATGTAACAGTTCTCAGCTAACTGTTTTCCTTTGCCCACCTCTGCTGCCTAAGGTTCTATCTGCAGTGCTTTTTACTGTCTTAACCTGACAATGGCCACTTCACAATTGAGCACAAGCAGCTCTTAGGGGTTGCTTGGTAGTTTCGAAAATGCCGTGAATTGTTGGAGGTTTTACTGATGAGTGACTTCTTATTTGTATCCTATCGAAATCTGTGAGTCATTGCTTGCAAGATGCTGATTTTAAGGGACTTATCAGCTTCCTTGTTTGGGAATCATGTATTTTAGGAGTTGTTAGCTATTTGTACAATGAGAATTCTGTTGTACCTCATTGTGGTTGTCGCCGGCCTTGCAGCTCTGATCTATTTTTTTTTTCTTCCTTCTTTTGTGATATATGATGATAACAGATAGTACAAAAGAGATCACCCAGAAACCGAAGGCTGGTGAGACCAGCGAGACAGATTCGTCAACTGGAGATGTTAGGTCAGTTGGAGTAACTCATTATCCAATATTATTGCTTGTTGCTGTTCACCTTGCCATTAACTATGGAGTGGGGAATTTAGTTACTTAATTTTGCAGATATGAAAACTCTAATTTGATGACGTTCATAAACTCGTATGAATATTTGAAGGATGCAAAATTTAACATCTGTTCTGGTTATTCAAGAACTATTGTCCTCATTTTCCATAAAGTTGCTACTCTCAGGGTTTGAATAAAGACTTTCATGCTTTCTGCATGACCTATTTTATGCGATTCCTTTCGCGTAGGAAAATTAGATGTCTCCTTGGTGGAAGTAGAATGTTTAAGAAGATTCCTTTCCTCCTTCATATGGGACTTTTTGACTATAATATAAGCAGAAATTTAAGTTTTATTGGATGGAGAAGTTGGTTTGAGGTGTTTATTGACTTTTGGCCACTCATATTGGCGAGGATTTTGTCCTCCTTCGCAGTTTAAGATGGCCTAGGAGAACTTCATCATGCATTACTGTGGCTAAGTTTGTAATGCCCAAGTGGAGATTTATTAGCGAAAGTGAGGGCCAGATTATTTTTAAAGTCAGTTTAAGATTTCTTTTTTTAAAATAGTTGAGCATTACGCACAAGTTTTTTTGTTTTGTTTTTGTGGGGAAGGGGGGTGTAGATTGTACAGGTAGAAGATGTGGAAGTGGCAGATCTTCCTTAGGGATCTCTGAGCATCAATCAGAAGTATCATGGCTAAACAAGTTCTTACAGATCTTATAGGCACTATCCTACTGTTTCCTTTTTTTAATTTTTGGGTATATTTACTGGTTCCTCGATGTACCAGGCTGTCTCTTGCTGTTTTTTTTTTACCTCAAGCATTCCTGTGGCTGTCTTAAATATTTTTTTCTTTCCAATACAGCCTAGCTTCTCTCTCTCCTCCCCGTCACTGCGTATTGGGATCTGTTGTTCCTTGTATGCTTTTTAGTCTTTTCTTTTTCTTTGCCAACTTCCTCCGTATATCCTACTGCTTCATGTTTAGAGCCCTTTTGTTATTTCTTGCTGGGTTTCTACGCAGAAGAGATGTCATTCTTGCCCATGTTACCATACAGCCTTGATTTACCTTAATTTTATTGGTGCATATGCCTTGAGCTATAATAAGTATAATTTCTTACCTGTCATACTGCAGTCTGGTTAGTTATAGATGTGAAGGTGCACCACAACGTGTCATACTGTAGTGTAGTTAGTCATATATGTCATGTTGCAGCACAATGTAGTTACCTACGATGGCCACTCCTTTCTTAATGAGGTTACTGGTTCAGGAAAAGTGCCTGCGTAGAGCCAGTCAATCATTGTAGTTTTGACCTTCATCTTTTCTTGCAGTTCGCATGAGCCAGAAAGTGGAGTAAAATCTGCAGGAGAAACTGAGCAGGCACATAATGATCCACATTCTGCTCAGGAGGCGAAGCCAGTAAGCATCAGTCGAACTATTTCGACTGCCTTGGCAAGTGCTGGCCACACTTTAGATGGATCTGAAGCAGAGCTTGTTTTGGACCCTCTCCGATTGGCATTTGAGACGAAGAGTCTGAAAATCTTAGAGCCGGCCTTGGATTGCCTTCATGTACCCAATCTAATTCTTTTGATGTCTATAATAGCACTCTTTAGCCTTTAGCTCAGTGGAAGATGGTTTAGTGGATTTTGTGATTCCTGCTGATTCTGGAGTCTGTATATGCCTCCATGCACTTTTATCTCACTGTTTCTGCTATCTGGTTTCAATTTCTGTGCAGAAACTTATCGCGTATGATCACTTAGAGGGTGATCCTGGTTTAGATGGTGGCCAAAATGTCCCTTTGTTTACTGACATTTTGAATATGGTTTGCAATTGCGTTGACAATTCATCCCCTGACAGGTAGGCATGCTCATTTGGTATTTTCTTCTTTATGAAGATGCTCATTCAATGTCTGACTTACAATTCTGTTCTTGTGCTTGTGTGTTAGATGGAGTTGTTAACTTACCAATAATTATTTTGCAGTACAATTCTGCAAGTGTTGAAGGTACTCCTAACTGCAGTAGCATCCACAAAGTTTAGAGGTACATTGATTGTGAATGGCAAATATTTCTGCATGTTTGCTCATTCTGGTTGCTTTAGCTATGTGCATTTTGCTATTTTGTACCTGTATCCAACATATCATTTTGTCTTGGACAAAATTAGTACTAACGGCCAAATGAATGCTTACTTTTGCCTATTGGATTTTGATAGCTTTAGGATATTGGTTGTTGGTGTTGCAATTGATGTGTTTGTGAAATAAATTCATGTAATTTTTTGGGTCACTCAAAACTAAAAAACAGGATTTTATGATGCGGGGTAGGCAAAACGATTTGATGTTTCATGATGAGTTGAAGATTAAATTAGATGAGAAGGGGCTCGAAAAATTATATTACACAGCGTGGGGTATCCTTCCTCTGAAAAAGGATCTATGCTCATTATATATACTGACCTAGCTTCACCTTTTCCCTTCCCCCCCACCCCCAAATTTTCATGTCCCTAATTTTTTTGGATGCAGTACACGGGGAGTCTTTGTTAGGAGTTATCAGAATATGCTACAACATAGCTCTTCACAGGTGCTTCTTTTGATAATCACCATGAGATAATACCTTCAGTCTAGAGTAATGCTCATCATTTTTAGTTTGCATGTTCAGCAAGAGCCCCATCAATCAAGCAACGTCAAAGGCCATGTTGACACAGATGATCAGCATTGTTTTCAGAAGAATGGAAACTGACCCTGTATGGCTTTATAACTTCTCAATCGCAGTTTCTAAATGTTGGGTCAAAATGGAGAAAACATTTGATGGTCTCCTTATCCTTACTCAGTCGTTACTTTCTGGCAGCAAATTCAAGTTTCCGCATCATTAGGTTCTGGAAACCAAGAAACTACTTCAGCTGTAAAATCAGATGTGAAAGTTGACGAAATTTCGTCTTCTGACCAAAATGAGGAAGGAATGACTCTGGGAGATGCACTCAATCAGGCCAAAGACACATCTCTTGCATCTGTTGAGGAGCTTCAAAATCTCGCTGGTGGCGCTGATATCAAGGTGCATCTTGTCTTTTTCACTTAATTCATATATTTGTCATGGCTTACTCCTGTTGTTTGTTCTACTATTGTGTTCGTTCCGCCTCAGTTTGTACGGGTTCTGAGAAATAACTTTGACTGTTGGGCAGGGTTTAGAGGCTGTTCTAGACAAAGCTGTGCACATTGAAGATGGCAAAAAGATAACTAGGTAAGGACATTTAGATGGTCTTTGGATGTCACTCCGGCATCTCTTTCTCGTGATGCTACTCTTCTGTTGCTTGAAATTGAATTTGATGCCTTTGTAGAGGGATAGACCTTGAGAGTATGAACATTGGTGAACGTGATGCATTACTGGTATTCCGCACACTTTGCAAGGTCAGTTTTCTATACAATGTCGCATTCTTGTTGCTTTATTGTGCTTTTTCTCGCACCATCAATTTAGAGCCTTCCTGAAATGTCAATATAACCTCTGCAGATGGGTATGAAGGAAGACAGTGATGAAGTTACAACGAAGACCAGAATTCTCTCTTTGGAGCTTCTGCAGGTGATTTCTAATTTTCTATTGAATTTCATGTGAATTTGTTGAGTTATGGTTCCACTTAGTGTTATCAATATTTTTCTCAGCTTAGTAGCAGGCTAGCAGCTAAAAATCAAAGTGTGTGAAACATTTGTGCTATCAGAAGTCTTGTTATTGACAATGATTAGATGAACAATTAGATTATTTAGCCCGCCTTGGTTAATTAATAATACACAAAACGCACTCAATAGCACATATATTTGCCAACATATAGCCGTCCTTGTGGGCATGTATTTTTATATTCATATGGTGATTTATTCCTGCAGGGTCTGCTGGAAGGAGTTAGTGATTCGTTTTTGAAAAATAATCATTTTATAGATTCAGTGAAAGCATATCTATCATATGCTCTGTTACGAGCATCGGTGTCACAATCACCTGTAATATTCCAGGTTTGATGAACTCTGAACTTCTCTTTTCTCCATATTCTTGTCTGCAGTTTACTATCAGATCAGTTTGATTATATATATTTTATTTGGTTGTTTTACTCATACTTCTCTTTAACTGCAGTATGCAACTGGAATCTTCTCAGTTCTTTTGCTGCGATTCCGTGAAAGTCTTAAAGTATGATTAATGTTCTTGTTGTCTGTTTATTGGCGGGTAATGTACTCCTAGTGTGGCATTATTCGCTTAACATTTGGTTTGCCTGGGTATATTTGCCAGGGTGAAGTTGGTGTCTTTTTTCCATTGATAGTTTTGCGATCACTGGATGGCTCAGAGTCTACCGTTAATCAAAAGACAAGTGTTCTTAGGTAAGGGCTTCACAGTAATTGGATGTTACAATTCTGTTCTTATTACATTTTACTTGTATTGTTCAGCTTAGTCTGTTTGAATCTGTCTCAGTAGTTCCTGTTACATTGTTTTACTTTTGTAGGATGCTTGAGAAGGTCTGCAAGAATCCTCAAATGCTTGTTGATGTGTATGTGAACTATGACTGTGATCTTGAAGCACCAAACTTGTTCGAAAGAATGGTATGTGCTGAGGTCAACTGGACTTATCTGTGGAATAATTTTCCCATGCTACTCCACATGACATCTTTTGATTCTCTGGAATATGCCATAGGTGACTGCACTGTCAAAACTAGCCCAAGGGACTCAAAGTACAGATCCCAATTCTGTTGCTATGGCACAGACTACCTTAGTTAAAGGTTCATCGTTGCAGGTTGGCTCATCTGTTACTTGCTTTTGCTTATTGGATTTTATAACTAAGTTTCTGCTGCTATATCTTTAGAAATTGCCATGACCCTCTCTTCACAATGTTCCAGTGTCTAGTAAACGTGCTTAAATCACTGTTTGACTGGGAAAAAGCATGCCGTGAGCAGAAGAAGAGTAAAAACGCTCATGCATCTCAAGAAGAGATTTTAGCCAGAGAATCTGTTGAGATAAAAAGTAGGGAGGAGGCTAATGACTTTGAGAAAGCAAAGGCTCATAAATCTACATTGGAAGCTGCAATATCTGAGGTTACTGATGACGTTTTTCTAATTGCTTCTTTGGATGCCTCTATTTTATAGTGAATAATGTTGCTTAAGAAGCTGCTCTTATTCAATCTCCTATATTCTTCTGCCAAGGAAGAGGACTCACTAATTGGTTTCTGTAACAATGCAGTTCAATAGGAAGCCATCAAAAGGCATAGAGTATTTGATAGCCAATAAGTTGGTGGAAAATAAGCCTGCATGCATTGCTGAATTTCTTAGGAACACTCCTAGTTTATCCAAGGTAAAGTGTGCAACCTTGGCATGGTGTCCTTTTGATGTTGATTTGGCCCCTACGTAACCTCTTGATTTTGCAGGTAATGGTTGGTGACTATTTGGGCCAACACGAGGAGTTTCCCCTTGCTGTCATGCATGCTTATGTGGACGGAATGAACTTTGCTGGAATGAAGTTTGATGCAGCAATTCGTGAGTATCTGAAAAGTTTCCGACTGCCAGGAGAAGCTCAGAAGATTGATCGTTTTATGGAGAAATTTGCTGAAAGGTGAATTGCATGTCTTTTTCTCTGTTACTGTAAATCAACTAAAGTACTACATGTCTGCTTCAATACATGAATTCTTGCATAAGAAACTTAACCGGTGGCTTGTTTGTTTGTTTACCTTTTACTTCTCATATGCTGCAAGTCCATTCAGTGGTAACTTGTTCTTGCACTAGGCATGAACTTCTTCCCATCACCTCATTAATTGCATGATCAAGTTCACGATTTCCTCTGGAGAGTCGAGGGCACATGCAAAGCTATTGACAGTTCAACAGTGAATGAAGAAGTATTGATAATGTTTATCAGATGGTTAACATATTGCAGGGGCTAAACTATTCTTTCTTATTCTGTAGACTTATTCCATTCTCTTAAGGTTGATTATAAATTTTGTTACATGGTTTAGGAACTATGAAGTCTAGCATTTGCATCATACTCATTATACTTTCTTTTCAGTCTAGTAAGTTGTCTAATGCATCCTGTGTATGTGGCAGATATTGTGCTGACAACCCAGGTCTTTTCAAAAATCCGGACACTGCGTATGTTCTGGCATATGCAGTTATAATGTTGAATACCGATGCCCACAACCCAATGGTGTGGCCTAAAATGTCAAAGTCAGATTTTGTGAGAAATAATATCATGGATAATTCTGAAGATAGTGCACCAACAGATTTGCTGGAAGAGATTTATGATTCTATTGTGAAAGAAGAGATTAAATTGAAAGATGATACAGATAGTATTGGGAAAAGCAAACTCAAACCTGAAGGAGAAGAGAGAGGTCGCCTGGTCAATATTCTTAATCTGGGCCTGCCTAAGAGAAAGTCATCTAATGATGTTAAATCTGAGAGTGAAGCGATCGTTCGGCAAACACAGGCATTTTTCAGGAAGCAAGGAGCACGAAGAGGGGTTTTTCATACAGTTAAACGGGTTGAAATTGTAAGGCCCATGGTTGAAGCTGTAGGATGGCCTTTGCTTGCTACCTTCTCGGTCATTATGGAAGAAGGGGAAAATAAACCAAGAGTTGTTGCCTGTATGGAGGGATTCAAAGCTATAATATGCATAACTTATGTTCTTGGAATGGATACCATGCGCTATGCTTTCTTAACGTCCCTTATCCGGTATGCTTTCAGCCTCATCCTTTCTCGTGTTTCCTCTGTTATTTTTCTTCTTCTCCCAATTGATAGCATTTTAAAAGAATAGCTTGAGAACACTGTCAACCAGTTGTGAGCTGTGATCACTGAGGCAAACAATAGCTATTCACTATCATAATGAAGCTTTTGAATGATTTGTCAGATTTACTTTCCTGCATGCCCCAAGAGACATGCGTAGTAAAAATGTTGAAGCATTACGGACACTGCTTTCACTGTGCGACTCAGAAGCTGATTCCATTCAAGACACGTGGAATGCAGTTCTGGAGTGTACCTCTCGCCTTGAATATATCACTTCCACTCCAGCTATTGCTGCCAGTGTGATGCAGGGGTCTAATCAGATATCCAAGGATGCTGTTCTTACCTCCCTCAGAGAGCTGGCTGGGAAACCGGCTGAACAAGTCTTCATCAATAGCGTTAGATTGCCTGGTACTTCCATAACAGAGTTCTTTACTGCTCTTTGTGGCGTATCAGCTGAAGAGTTAAAGCAGGTCCCTGCACGTGTATTCAGTTTGCAGAAGCTTGTTGAGATAAGCTATTACAATATGTCTCGGATCCGCATGGTATGTTATTTGTCACTTCGAACTTGTGACCCATTTTACCTCTTCATTTTCCTAATTGGTAGTTTCAGAAAGTAAATAAAGAGGGTTCATAATTGGTCTTCCCTTGGTGTAAAGTTTTAACTTATATTGCAAGTCTTAATGAACTAGCTGATTGACACGGATTGGTGTGAAAATGCCAATTACCGTGCATGCAATACTTTCTTGGGGAAATCGTCTGGGTGGTAGGTGGAATCTTATCTTGGCTTGGGTGGCTATTCCATCCATCCTCGCAGGAATCTAACTTTTCAAGCACTCACTTTAATACTGCATGATTATTCTTGATTTACTTAATTAAGTAATAGCATTGACTTTTAAAAGCAGTTGCAGTTCATGTTGGCTCCTTACATGTATGTTGATATTAACATATATTCCAAAATGGCTGAAGATCTTTGCTTTCTGAAAGTAGATCTGAGGTGGCCTCCTTGTCAATTGTATGCAAAGTGAGATATTTGTTAGAACATAGGTGAAGGTCTTTGAATGGTCATGATGATATGTCGTGTGTTTTGTGTTTTCACCCTTGAAATTTTTGTGGTGCCGTACCAGGTGTGGGCTAAAATTTGGTCTGTGCTGGCAAATCATTTTATTTATGCTGGGAGCCATCACGAGGAAAAAGTTGCTATGTATGCTATAGATTCTCTACGGCAGCTTGGGATGAAGTATCTGGAACGTGAAGAACTTGCAAACTTCACTTTCCAAAATGACATTCTGAAACCATTTGTTGTTCTTATGCGTAATAGTCGAAGCGAATCCATAAGAAGCTTAATTGTTGACTGTATTGTTCAGGTATTTCTTCTCAATTTTGTTTGATTCTGATTTTTCTTGTCCTCGTTGCTGCTCCACCATTCTCAGGGTTAATGTGTGAGTGCCGCCTTCCTTGTGTCTCAAGACTTTGTCCGTTGCTTTTTATTGCAGATGATAAAATCTAAAGTGGGAAGCATTAAGTCTGGATGGCGTAGTGTTTTCATGATCTTCACAGCTGCTGCAGATGATGAACAAGAATCAATTGTTGAAAGGGCCTTTGAAAATGTTGAACAGGGTAAGGGAGTTGCCTGTTTCTCAAACTTGTTCACTTGCTTTATTTCTATGTCTAACCAAAGGTTTTCTCAGTTGTCTTGGAGCACTTTGATCAGGTGGTTGGAGATTGCTTCATGGACTGCGTCAACTGTCTTATCAGATTTGCAAATAACAAAAGTTCCCATCGTATAAGTCTTAAGGCCATTGCACTTCTCCGCATTTGTGAGGATCGGTTGGCAGAGGTTTGCTATGTACCCATCTATTTCAGTTAAATATTTGATTGGATATCATTGGGTCAGATACATTAATATGTCTGTCTTAAGAGCGTCACATGACTCATGAAATATAGTATCAGCCATTACATATTTCTGTATCTGCTACTGGAATCATTTGTTTGACTGTTACTTATTTTTTAGGGTCTCATTCCTGGTGGTGCTCTGAAGCCCATTGATGTTGAGACAACTTTTGATGTAACTGAGCATTATTGGTTTCCCATGCTGGCTGGTCTATCTGATTTAACATCAGATCAAAGACCTGAAGTCAGGAGTTGTGCTTTAGAAGTTCTCTTCGATTTGCTGAATGAGAGGGGTAGCAAGTTCTCAACATCATTTTGGGAAAGCATTTTCCACCGTGTCTTATTTCCTATTTTCGACCACGTGAGACATGCTGGGAAAGAGAGCTTGTTCTCCTCAGAAGACGAATGGTTTAGGGAAACCAGTATACATTCCCTTCAGTTGCTGTGCAACCTTTTCAACACCTTCTACAAGGTACCCCAGATTCTTCTCAGTTATTCACTGTGCTTCTGGATCTGTGTGCATAATGTTTGAAATGGTTACTGTCAGTTGTTACATAAGTGACCAAAAATATCCTTTGGAGTAGGTGATGAATTCTTAAGACTGTTGATATATATATGTCTATGGACTATTTAAGACAAACATAGTACTGAGAACATGTGGAGTTGGGGGCAGATCTCAAGACATCTGCCTGTTAAGTATTCCATTTGTTTGACTTGTTAAGTCTTAGTTTCCCTAGTTATCTGTTCATTATTAGACTGGTTTGTCAGACCTCATATCAGTTACTGATGAGTTTTGAGTCTTGAAACTTGTATAACCTGGGATTGCAAACATGATAATTTTGTGATAAGATTACACGAGCTGACATTGTCACTGAAAGAACTCCCAATATTTTCCCAGACAGTTAAACGTGGAACTGATAGTCCTAAGTATTTGGAAATGATTCAAAAGCGATGTTAATTCTTAGTTGCTATCCAAGCTTTGAGGCATAGCTGACAATGCCACAAGCCTTGTTTCAATCACATGGCTACTTCATTTTAAGAGTCGGTTGTGTATGAGGTGAAATCATTAATTGAATGCATCTTAATCTCTGATGACTAGATGGTCGCATTCTTGATGTTTCTATTTCATTCACACATTTATGAGCAGTGGGTTTTGGTTGATGGATAAAGTGCCAGTGCTACTTTATTTTGGCTGTAAAACCATGATGCATCAATTTTTTATTTCAACTGTTACATAAGGGAGCTTAAAAATACTATATGAGACAGCAAAATGTTCTTTTTTGTAATGCATCTTGATGTTCATGTGCATTGAAAGAAATCTCATAGCAAATGGGAAAATGTAATTGGAATAGTAAGTTTCAGGTCATTTTGAATACGTTAACTTGCCGAGGGGGCAAGATTATTTGTCTGAGATTTTTTCTTATGAATGGTGACAGATTTTTTCTTATGAATGGTGGCAGTAGAAATATTTTATCTTTTTTCCCCCCTCTCTTGAGTAGCATTCCACTTCTCTGGTGCAGGAGGTTTGTTTCATGCTTCCACCACTTCTGAGTTTGCTTCTAGACTGTGCAAAGAAGACTGATCAAACTGTTGTGTCCATTTCTTTGGGTGCACTGGTGCATCTCATAGAAGTTGGAGGCCATCAGTTTAGTGAAAATGATTGGGATACATTATTGAAAAGCATAAGGTTTGTATATAATATTCTGTAAGCCAACCCATTATTTTGTATATTTTCTCATCTCATTGATATGCAATTCTATCTCTTGCATTAGGGATGCCTCATACACAACCCAACCCCTTGAGCTGCTGAATGCTGTTGGTTATGAGAATCCAAGAAGCCCGGCAATGAAAGTTGATCCCGAGGTTAACAGGGAAGATGATGCAGGTAACAGTCAGCCTGATGCCAGTGATACAGGGAGGACATCTCCCTTGCCATCACCGAAGATGGATGCTCAGGGTATGGGTGGTAATGTCAATGCACGCATGCTCCTCAATCATAGTCAAGAACCTGGCTCACAAAGTAAAGTTGATGGATCTGAGGGTTAGTTTCTCCCAACTTTCAGTATCCCATTTTTTCCATCAATACATATCAATTCATACATTAAAATAATCGAACTATGAGCCTCTGGACGTGTAAGATTTGATGTCCAAACTGCAGTTCAAATGGTTTGGCTTTCTAACTTCTCAAGGTAGTCATTCAAGGGAAATTAGTGTGTATGGCAACTAGGTTCTTGGTTCATTCAGTGTTCAAAGATGATATTGAATGGAATTAAGTTTATGTATGTAGATCTGGTCTCTGGACACTCGAATTCCCATTGTCCCATTGTTGCTACTGTGTCAGATGGAAAATCGCTGTTCAGTTGTGATTCCATATGGATATGTGGGTTAAATGGAATAAATAGTGGTCCACAGCAGATGACCTTCTGTATAATAGATGCAGAGTCATTTTTCTGTTCATATTTCATGATATGATTAATATTTATAGACTGCCATTTCATATGTTGATATCGCATTGATTAATAGGTTCTACTGCATCTGAAAATTAATCAGGTGCGTGAAGGTGAGGGTGAAGATGAAGCCTCAGGCACCCAATTATGCAATTCAATTTGGGCAGAAATTATAGAATTCTGCAAGTTAAGGAACTTGAGTTGTCCATATCTCTTGATAGACCGAGTTAAGAGAATATGGTGCGAGATATCTAAAAGACAAAGACAATTTTGTGAGGCAACAATCTCATTTATGAGGTTGTGGTTAGACTCTAAATCAATCCATTAGGTTAACTTAGAGTACCTCTCGTGTCATTTTGGTTGTGTTTCATTCAAAAGATTATGCTTTTGTCTTTCTTTTGCATCAAGTATGGGGATACTCTAGTTATGGGAATAATTAGTAGCCGACAGACTGTTATGTTAAATGTTGTTTGATGTTTGTACTCATCATCCTTGTAAGTATTTAACTCTGGTTGAATTTAGGATCCTTGCCATTATTCCATCCGACAGCTTTTTATGCTCTGTTATGGTACAACAGAATCCAAATAAAAGATCTGCTCAATTCACCTCATGGTTGGTTATGTTATTGTAGGTCTTCCATCTCCATCTGGAAGAGCACATAAACCTGAGACCCTGCAGCGTACTCAAACTTTGGGTCAGAAAATTATGGGGAATGTGATGGACAATCTGTTCCTCAGAAATCTTACCTCCAAATCCAGGGCTCCTCCTCCGGATGCCTCTGCACCATCTTCTCCTATTCAGGTTTGGTTGTTCTTCCTTTTCTCTCCATTGCTTCTCGAAATGTTGGCCTTTCAGTATTCTGTGCGTGTTTTTATATAGTTGCCAATAAGTAGTTGCTTGCTCATATAAAAAGACGGAGCAGTTGTAAGGGGTGAAGCAGTGGAACTAATAGGAAAGGTTCAAAAGCTGACATAACAAAGACCTTCTTTCTGTGTCTCCCTGTTGTCTTCTTTTTCCTCTCCTGTTTCGTAATTTCTTTTGGCTTATCCATACGCTTGTTTAGGTTCCTGAAGCTGTGGAGTCGGATATCAGAGATGAAGAAGAAAGCCCACTGATGGCTGCCATTAGGGGCAAGTGCATCACTCAACTATTGCTTCTTGGAGCTATTGATGGTATACAGGTATAGTAGGTTTGATCTTATGTTTTTATGATATTAACAACTTTTGAGGTTTTTTTCTTCTTCAACAAGCATGGAATCTTAAACTTGAGGCTATCCCTAATTCTAGTTCTTTCTAATTTATAGTCTATTTTCAGTTCTCCTGAAACAGTTAAATTCGTGCTGTACATTTTGCGGTTCCGAGTTTTATTTTCAATCGTAGTGAAGTCCGCTGCCCTTTTCCCCCCCATGCAGAAGAAGTACTGGAGCAAGTTGGTGGCACAACAGAAGGTTGCTATAATGGATGTTCTGTTATCTATGTTAGAGTTTGCCGCTTCATACAATTCATATCCCACCCTCAGAATGCGTATGCACCATGTTCCAGATGAAAGGTGCTCAAGGAAATCTTTTCACCTTTTTTTCTTCCTTTTTCTTATCTTTAGACTTTTAGTGACGATCTTTGCAATTTAGACTGTCTTCATATAATTTGTGCGTGGACAGGCCTCCTCTTAATCTCCTTCGCCAAGAATTGGTTGGTACAAGCGTTTACCTAGACGTGTTACAGAAAACTACTTCAGATTTAGATACAAACAAGGAGCAAAAAGTGGAATCACTGACAGAAAATGGTTCAAGTCCCAGTGGACAATCTAGTTGGGAAGAGAAGCTTCAAGGGATAGCAGAGGAAAAATTGGTTTCATTCTGTGAGCAGGTACTGAGAGATGCATCCGAACTTCAGTCTGGTGTAGGAGAACCAACAAACATGGACATTCATCGAGTTCTAGAGTTACGCTCACCCGTCATTGTTCGGGTATGGTGACGATGCCCCCTGTTATACTATGTATGTGCGTGAAGCTAGAGACGGAACATATTATTTGACATAGAGATCTCTCTGTTTTCATTTCTATGAAAAATAAATATATTTCAGGTGCTTAAAGGCATGTGCTACATGAACCACCAGATCTTCAAGAGACATCTACGAGAGTTCTATCCGTTGCTGACAAAGCTTGTTTGTTGTGATCAGGTATGGCCATATATTCTCTGTTAACGAGCAGGGTTAGTTTATTTGCATCAAAACTTGCTAAAACAATCACTTCCTTCCTAAAACATAGAAAAGAGAGGATTGGGAAATAAATGTAAATAGATTGTGAAACTTAACCTTGGGCTTGTTTTCCTTCTATTCAGTTGGATGTTCGTGGAGCGCTTGGTGATCTTTTCAGGATGCAATTGAAAGCTCTACTGCCATAGTGAAGGACAAACCTATACTGCTGACTGCTGCTACTTTGGTTCTGCTGGAAGGGCAGGAATTGCTTCCGTGCACGTTGAATACGAAAAAAAGACCTTGTACACTGTGTCAAAAGTATTTTCATTATGCAATGCTATGTAGAATGCATTTGATGTTACATTATCCCATGCCAAATTTTTTCCATCTGTAGCTACCTTAAATTTTGTTATAGCAAGTTTGTCAAGTAGAAGAGTTCTTATGCTTTAAACATGATGGAATTTTAGTTTCTTGTTCCCAAAAGAGAGGCCCCAAGACAAAGATAACGCTTATTGTTGTATTCAACTCATTATGTTCTTACAGAGATCGAGATTACGACGGCAAGAAAGTACAAAACTAAGTGACATCCAGATTTGCGTTTCCGTCGCGTGGACTCTTACCAACAATGGGCTCGTGTTCTATATATTACCCCTTCGTGGAGTAGTAAAGCATCTCTTTGACACTGGTACCACTCTACACTTCTAACTACAGCAGGAAGAGAAATCGGAACCTTGAATCGAAAGGCAAGATGGAGAAGCTTCGTGCGCCCAGCAGCTTCCACTTGCGGTTGGATGAGCAGTCTTTCACCATGGCAGCTTGCTCTGCTGTGAGCAACTCAGTTAGCCACTCTGGCAATTGTGAATCGTCCACCATTCCTTTTGCGAAACAATGCAGCAACTTTGGCACCAATATCTTGCCCTTGCTGCCTATCCCAGTCGATGCTTGTGCATAATCCTTCAATGAGGTCTGAAGCATTTCATTTACATTATCGGGCTTGTAGATCCGCACCTATTCATCATCACAGAAAATTTGGCTAGGTTTACTAGTCCGGTAGACAAGTCTGATCTCACCAATCTCTTCATACTCATAGTTATATGTGATTGTGAAACAGTTGACACCACAATGCAACTTTGAATTTATGTCGTTTGGTCGGTTTTATTTGGAGAGTAAAATGTGATAGCATGCAGACAAGCACATTCATCATTTTCACTGATAAAATACGAGATGAGTAATGCGCAATTGAGACTAACAACATTGATTTATAAGTACACCAAACCAAACACCCCTGGTTGTTTATGCCCCACACAATTCTTAATATTTTTAGAAAATAGTTGTTTCATTCATTGTAAGAGATTTGAATTTGGTCACTTATATCACCTATAAAAAACACAACTTGGCTAAACTCCATAGTACAGAGTTAAGAATACAAGTTCTTATTTACATAGCTTCCCTGACATGGTTTTTCATTTTAATACCGAACTCCGGGTGCAAGGGGAACAATAGGGGCAGAGTCAGTACTTACAGCAGGCGAAGAGTACATCCCACAACTTAGAGCAAAAGCCAGTAGGGGCTCTGGTTGATTGATTGAAAACTTCCTCAACTCATCGGTTGCTTTCAGCCTTTGAAGAGCAAGGACAAACGACTGCACGTCGTAGTGATGGGCGTAAGATGTAACTCCACTCAACATACCATAACAGGCAAACAAATTCAGGACGTTTTCCCAAGCACAAGGGCATGTTCCTCCAGGGTACAAGCAAGTTAACACCTTGATATTGATGACAAAGTTCAAACCTAACATCTTTGTAGTATTTGCAACTAGACGCCGTGGAGTTTTGTATCAAAGTAACAGCATGTCATGTTTATAATGAAAATTATACTACTAAAGTACTAATAACTCCTTTATCCTATGCCCACAAGCTGGATGCATTGTAACTTTGTAAGGGAAGCCAATGAAAGTAAAACTTACTACTTGAGGTCGATGTGCTGGAGGCTTCATCTTTAGGATGATGTATTCAATATCCGCAGCGCTGATTGAGTTTCCCCCAATTGTGTATGCAGCCTGCAAAGCTAGCAGTTCAGTTCCCCGGATTTAGTTTAAACAAAAACAGTACAGAAGGGAAGAACAAGATCATTCAGAGCATAAGAAGGGACAACAATAAACCTTCTGCATTAAGGAAAATAGTTTAATATCACTTCTTGGAACTCCGTATGCTAAGAAGGCCTGTAAATAATTTAACAGAGACTTCAGGGAAGGAACGAGCGATATCAGAAATGGTGATATGAAACTAAAAGTTGTAATTCACATGCATAGGACATTGTTTGTAGCAGCAAGTCCCCAATTGAGGGCCTAAGGAAAGTATGTAAATGAAAAAATCAGCAGACTAAAATATGCCATAGGAAAAATTGAGGGCATAAGTGTGAAAGGAGCGTACGTGCATGATCAATGCGTTGTACACATTGATCCAAAATGCTAGCTTTTCATGGCAAAGAAGGCGTGATGGGTCAACTTCAACCAACTGTTCCACAAGCAACCTGTACACAAGCAAACCAAGTAAAATTAACTCTCAAAGCTCAACGAGGAAAGCAGACATCACATGCACAGTCATTCTAGCAAATAGTTTAAATTGTAAGTAATGCAATAAAAGCACATTACTCAACCTAAATCGTTTGAGCGCGCCGGAAGCATATTCAAGCTCTTTCTTCCCAACCGACAACCAGGAGACCTCAACAGCGTTGCTGTAAGCTCCAATACCTTCATTCCATTCTACTTTACCAGGAACTCCATATGGGTCGAACTTGCAAGATCTTGTTGAGACTCCAGAGACCTGGTCCTTGTCTAATATGGGACTTCTAGTTGAGGAATCATCCCTGCTTGTGTCTGAGAATGATGGCAGAGAGGGATGGGGTAGTTGGTCACAAGGTGAAGATGGTGCAACACTAGACTTTGAAGAAGAGAGTTTGGAGGAATCCGCCAAAAAGAGAAAAATGTCTCTCATGCACAAGACCATGGCCTCTGAAAGCTGGTTAGGCCGGTGGCATAGTTTCTCCACAAAATAATCCTTGTTTGGCTCGTTGACTGACTCTGACCATGGAGGCTTCTCCTCCATCTTTCCTTCTAGTTTCTCTCTGCTGCCAGGTCTAATGATCTGCAAAATTTTGGGCTGTTCAATTTCCAGATTCATTCATCATACTATGACACAATCAAAGGTGACACAAGCTACTCTATTGATGAGCTAAGAATGGTTTCTGAGGGTAGATAACCTACTAGGTGAATGTACCGAGAATAATTACTTGTAGGAGACGGTAACAAATTCATTTAATGAAAAAAGGAAATGAATATAAGATAATCAGAAATAAACAAACCATCTCTGGTAAGTTGGACTGAGAAGAATCAAACATGGAGGACGCTAAAATGGGAAAATGCCTCAAACGGTACTCAGCAATACGGCGCTCATTTCTCTCCTGACTGAGTTGATATTGCAAGGCAACTGACTTCTGTTCAAGGTTTGTCACATTATCCTCAAGGATAGCTATGCTATCCAAAAGCTCTTGTGCCTGGTGTGTAGACGAAAAGGAATCAAGTGAGAATGGATCGAGAAACTAACATAAGGCACAACATCATCAACCAAGAAGCTTGAGACAAGAAGAAAATTCAAGAAGAATGGAAAGACAATGACTTTATCTGGAAGTTGACAAGGTGAATCAGAAGACGAGTTAGAATGTTCAACAGCATTTGCAAGGGCCAAGCGCAAGTCAATCTCTTCTTGCAACTGCTGCTGCAGCATTTTCACCTGAGATGTTCAAGAAACAGGAATAGCAAACTCAGTTACAAGTAGTTACAATAACAATGGGAGGGAAGAATTGCATATATATAAGACTATGTTATCTCGACTCGACTTACATCTTGCTCAAGCTGATGCTTGTAAACAGAGATATCTATGTCTTGCACCGGGGGGATTTTTCGCTCTTGTGAGTTAATATCCTGAACATAAAATTGATTGAAACTCTTGATCTATCTTCATTGTGCCAATATAGAGAACTAAAGGTTGATTGTCGCAGATCAGCATGGTTTGTTATGAAGCAGCTAACATCAAAGATGTCCGTGAAGCAGGCCAAGACAACCCAGTAACTTCAGAAAACTAGTTGATAAGTTCCACTTAAGCAGTGAACAGGTTTGTCTTGGTTGAATGGTACACACTTGATTACAGAATGCCGTTACAAACTTGAGAAAAAAAATCACAGGCAAAGAACGTTGAAGCCATTGCAATTGAAACCAAAGAAAAGGATGTCATGATACCCCATGCTGTATGTGACATTAGGAAGCAGATGTAGTGCTTAATTACAGGCTGCCTTTGGAAGTTTTAACTAAATTGAGCTAGGCATAGATAACTGGAAGGAAGTGAGCAACTGAGAAAGAGGCCCTCAAAAATGACAGGAGGGTTTGCATGGGGGCAATGTCACTTTCCATTTCATAAGTCGATATCTTTTTTCATCTCATCAGTGCGTTACAAACTAGAAAGAGGACAAACTAACAGAAATCATGATTCATGACAAAAGTTAAGTATTGGGAAGAGCCATAAAGCTGTAAGTCTACAACGACAGTAATAAGGGGGACCAAACAAAAGTTTGTTATCCACAAGCCAGAAGCTGAAAAGGAAGAACCCCATCTCATTTCATTTCCTTTCCTTTCCGTGGTTTGGAAAGAATTTGGAGTTTCCCTAAAGGGGAGCCCCACAGCCACAACAAAGCGCATAAAAAGAAGGGGGAAAAGGAACAGAAATGCAATTGGTGGGTTAGTTAGCTGCACACATTTGCCAGTGTTTTAACTGTGTGAGAAGAGGCAATACCTCAAAATCGGAGACTGAACATGAAGGGGAGCCGTCTCCGGAGGAGATAGATCGAGTGGACATTTTACCCATCTTCCAGAAATACTTATGGAGGGAACTTCCACTGCACAAAGGCACAACAACAGCAATCAACAAAAGAAAGTCGAAGCCTTTCCCACATACAAACAAAAAATGAACTTGCCCAGAAACAAATCAATAAGAAATGGAACCCATATAAGGCATTGAAGCTAAAACTGACATTGATCAAATGAAATACAGGAAGGAAAAAAGAAAATAGGAAATGCAGCAACGTACAAATTGATGGGGAGAAGAAAGCCAGTAGAAGAAGCATCTGGAGATGCATTGATCTTATTATTATTATTGCAAGAAGAAGCATCGGCGGGCTTGATGGTTGGGTCGAGATCGAGGTCGCGGTCGTCATACGCTTCTGCTTTCAAACAAAGCATTTCTTCACTCTTTGCTTCTTCTTCTTCTTCTTCTTCTTCTTCTTCTTCTGTTCTTCTACTACTACTTCATTCACTCCCCCAAAACGCGCATTGGGATCAAATGTCAGGAGTAGTATAGTTCAACAGGGAATGCAGTAAACTGTGCAGGTGAGGAGCGAGCAAACGAGTCAAAAGACACAGACACACACACACTCTCTCCAACTCTACACAGGGACAGTAGATTTCCTTCTCTCTTCCTTTGCTCTTTTCCCCATTTATTGTATTTTTTTCGTATGGGGTTTTATAGTGGGGGTTTTCCATTGTTTCGGAACAATGGCCCTCGCAGGTGGCGAGAAAACCGGAGGTTATTATTTGTGTTCTTCCATTGGGAATTTACTAATAGGCCCACCCACTATGTCCTACCACCTCCCTGAGGTTATCAAACCGGTTTATACCGTTATGTCGGTTTGATAAGTGGTATAGTTCGACCGTTATATTGGTTCGTACATAATTTATGTTAGTTTATATATGTTTTACTAAGAGCATCTCCATCAATGCAATTGAAAAAAAATTGCATTTATGTTTTTTATTGTTAACTCAATTTTTTTGCAATCCACATCACATTCATTTCAATCACCTACATCAATGCAATTAACTTGCAATTGCAAATGTAATTAAATATTATATTTAAATTATAGAAAATTAAGTAAAAGAGAAAAGAAAACAATATAAAATAAAAAGTCCC